GAAGCTACCTGAAATCACGCTCCACGGAGCAACCTTCTCAAGTGTGTGTGCGTGTGGGAGGCAAATGGCGGGGTGTACGTGTGGAGTTGGCGCCTCTAAACCAAGAATTTGATGGTTTTTTGAGGCGTTGATGTAGGGTTAGCCAGGTCTCGCTTTTACTTGGAATCTTAGAATGGATTTGGCCAGCAGACAGTCGATAAAGGCAAATATTATTGAATTTTATGTATAGTAATATTGTGATAATGGTTATATACATATAATTACGTAATGGGTGTGGTTTGCCAGATTGTAGCGACCTTGTGCGGCCTCTTGAGGTTTCGCTTCTCGTGTCCTGCTTGTTCAGAAGCAGCTACCTTCACTGCTTGTGGCCAAGTGCATATGCTGCCCGCTCAGTTAGTATTACCTTTGGTTCGGTGATTTATACAGCTAGATTCGCTAGATCATGAGTTTTCTGTGACCTTGAGCCAGCAAGTTCCTTTCCCTGTATTTTGTTCAGGACAGCATTGTGGCAACCCATAGACGTCCACCTGAACATCCGAAAGAATCAAGGCTTGATTTCTGCAGGACTGTTCAGCTTCAGCTGTGACACTGCGGCCCAGGATCAGAATACTAACTAGCCTCGGTCCAAGTGCTTCCTCTCAATTCTAGCTGTGAGGAAACCCAAGTCTAGTTGTGGCCGTCAGTGGCCGTTCATGCTCCACCCAAACCAAGACACAGTAAGCAGCAAATACGAAATACTTGCACAGAAAACATTTTGCAGCTTGAGATGCTCGCATGTTTGCTATGCGCAGGACATCTAGGCACAGCTTTTGCAAGGCTGATGCTTTGTCCTTCGCAGCTTTGTGGTCCTCAGCCGGGCTTGCGCGCGCCTTATTTAAGTCGAGAAAGCCACGCAATACAGTACTACCAAACAACACTTCAGTACACCTCATGTACTTGTACAATGTACTCAAGAAAGGAGGTTGGCCTGACACTACCCATCACCTGAGTCACCCCTGTACACGTGGGAGACAGGGTGTGTATTATATAGACACTTCATTTCCATTGGTGTGAGGTTGACCCTGGAACTCAAGCCAGTTTTCCCTGGCGGTCCGGGGGTACGGCCCTCGGCCAGCAGCCATCCAGTTTTTGATAAGACTGTCACTGCTGGTTCATGAAGCTGTAAGTCTTGGAGAAGAGGGATTTATGATTTATATATTTATTTGTAGAGGAGTAGTGTTTTCGGTTCCTTTCTCTTCCCCTTTCGCAGTCAGAGAGAGAGAGAGAGAGAGAGCGTCTTTAGCTGTCCTAGCTCTGAGGTTTCGGAGCTCCTGGATTTGGAGACCAATGCCGTGAGGCGCAGCTCTGTTGGATTTGGGAATGCACATCCACAGGACTTCAGGGCCTGTTCAGAGGTTCGAGGTTCGGGGCATGTTTGGTGCTTTTTCTTCCTCGCTGTTTGGGTGAGAGGCGATCTAAGATTGTTTCATGCGTCATGCGGCCAATCTTCTGTCCTGCGCTGCGCATGCTGGCAATAACTTACCAGCGAGGTTTTCAATATATATTCAAATGCAGCCCGCACAATCCACATTTGCCCAAGAGAACGGCCAGAAGCAATCGGGCGAACGCTGCAGGTCCGGGTGGCACGGGTCAGCTGTAACTGAAATACCAGCAAGGAGCTCAGAAAGTTCACGGCTTTGGAAATCCATACCCGGGTTCTTCCGTGCGGAATTTGGTGCTCAGAGTGGAAGGGGTCACCATTTTGAACGCACCGTTGATGAACGGTCGAATTACTATAGGCTATATATACGCATATATATATATATCATAAATAAGTGTGTATGTGCGTACATAGATATATATATATATACATATATAGATATATATATATATACATATACACATAGTATACATATAAATATAATTCATAGGATTCGATAGCGGATATGCTGGAAACCCAATATCGAGTGTTCTTCGAGGGCAGAAGGCTGCTGAACTCCGAGCTCAGGCTGGCCTGCGCTTGGCAGTGGACAAGGAAGGAGGCTGGGCATTATGTAAAATATGTATATAAATGATAAATGCTGCCTGTCACTCAAGATAGTGTAGGTCAAGGTGTGTTAATCACTCGTGATTCATGTGTCAAGGTCCATCAGCCTCCCTTTGTGAAATTTTGGCAAGTATGCAAGAGATGACCATGATGACCTCAATATCACCGATCAATATCATCCAATAAAATATTGCCTCATAATATATCTTAATCATATGTATGTGTTTCCTTTAATATTCCTTCTCAAGCTTGTTTGATTTGATTTGGTGCGAGCGATTACGTCTCGGCAGGTCCGGCTTTGGTCCTAGATGGGAGGCACTGAGGGGAGATCCACTAAGTCTTTTTGTACTAGTTTTATTTGTTTTAATGCTCTTACATAGCTCAGTCGGCGGCTACTTGATTAAGTAAGCGAGTTGCTTGAAGAAGTGCTCGCACAATTGATTTGGTTCTTAGATCTTTAGGGAAACTTTAGGAATAATATTTTGACCATGCTCACCAATAGACTCCTGAGTGACTACCGTATGTTCACTGTTGACTGTTCATCTCTTGCTTTATCAATGTTGGAATACCTTTACCAAGTTTAGGATAGCTTAGGTTGATAAAGCTGGACAGACTACCTCGTCAGGCCAGAGGACTTCTCTGCCGCCGGCCGCCGGCGGTGCCAACTCTGTGTGGAGATTGGACCAGAGGACGCACTGCGAAGCGTCACTTTGGAGCTTCAGGCTGAAGCTGTGTGGTCAGAGGATTCATTGGTAGAGTTACAGTAAATACTGTATACAGTCTGGATGAGGCAGAGACAATGCTCCAAGTTTATCATCGCTTTATTCGGGCCTTGAGATTTTTGCTCTTCTTGGACAGGACATGTTTTGTAACCATGCAGCTCCACTTTGCTTTGGATGATGTTGATATGTATGTATATTTATTTATATATCAGACATGGCTAGGCGGCTAAACCTTTGAGCCTGTAGGCTCTCACTGGGTCCCGGCGTTTGCTCCGCTCCTTGCTTCTAGCAGCCCTGGGTCCATTGGGAGATACCGCCGTGACTTGGAATTGGATTTGGACATAGCTGAGAATTGCTTGGACCCTTGCTGGCGTCCCACTCTGGCAGGCAGCGTTTTTGTCGTGCGTTGATTGTTTTTGACCAATCGGCCTTCTTCAATTTGGCTGGCTTGCCAGCCAAGAACTTTTGTTAAGTAGCATTGGATTCCCGATTTTGTCGCTTCTCCAATTTGATGGAAGTAAACTGCAACATGACGCACCAACAATGGGATGTGTGATCGAAGGGTCTTGGAGTTTATGAAGCCTTTATTGGTAGCTGCAAGGGCAGCGTGAGCACACATGTCTCACTTCGCTTTGCCACCAAGGTTGTTGCATACCACATTCATTTTGGGCCAAGGTGCCATGCATGATGCATCAACTTTGCAAACATTGGGCAGAAATGGTTCTACCTTTGGAGAATCCAATGGGACACTTAGGGCTGTACGTCAAGCAGCTAGCGTCATCAGTCGCTTTCCATGGCCAGGTGCTCCTTGGCCCTGCTGTGCAGCTTCGAAGCGCGGCGACATGTCCTCCAAGTGCGACAGGTTAAGGCTCCTCAGCTTAAAAGGAGAGGGCCAAGAGCGCACTTTGTTATGGGGGGCAAAAAGTCCTCACAAGATCTTGACAAGTAAATAATGGAGCATGTTCGGATGATGCAACGTAAGAGCCAGGATGACCCCTCCTCAAATGGGTTGATGATGCCTGTGCCATCCAGTCAGGCCAGACCTACAATGCCGCTGAGCTTGGAGGTGACACAGGAAGATACCGCAAAGGAGGAGCAGAACCGAAGGCTTCGGGCACCATGGCACACCACTCACAGGTCCCCAAGAGGTCCCCGCTCGGGCGGATTCGCTCACTGCCTCGGTTGGCCAGGCTTTCCGACGCTCTACTTCAACTCCAAGCGGATAAGCCTTCATGGAGGCCGCCAAAGAAGCCACGTCCTGCTTCGGCCTCACCTGCTCACAAGAGGCCAGGAATGGGTGGTCAACGGTTAACGCCAGAGGACATCCTGAGCATCAGGATGTAAATTGACATAGATTAACAGAGTCTTCAAACAGATGATCCACTTCATACATATGCCACTTCCAACTTGCGTGGGTGTTTTAAGCCGTACTAATTATTCTTGCAACATCCAAGAGGTTCTAAAAGTTTGGACATGGAGGATCATGGAGGGAAAAGGGTGCGGCATGGAGGACACGGGGAACTGGAGACTTCCCAAGTCGCCAAAGGGGTATGCACACCACCGCGCTGTGTAGGTCTCCAAAGATGTCGCACCCGTTCCTGGAGTCGGGGATTCCCAGGCGCTGAAGTCAAGCTCCTAAGAGACTGAGTCATGGACGCGCATGAACATCTAGATCCCTCACCGCAACTGTGTTGGCACCCTTCGAAGAGCCATTGAGAGCAGCTTATGATATGACAACATGAGGGGCTTCCATACTCACAAATCACAAATCTATACAAATCTCGCAAGAACGCTCCCTATTAATACACCCTTAAAGGGCTGATATATCTGTAGGGTTTGGATGGGTTTTGGACCGATTTGTCCACTGTTCGGAATAATCGAACAGTATTTGCAAATATCTATAGAAACAGCAATTTCTGAAGAGAGCGCGCATCTTTCATGCCAAAGCGAGCAGCAGCTTGGGTTCAAAGCGACCAAGCCGCATGGCTTGGTCCCCACGCCTTCGGGATGGCACCTCTGAGATCTCTGCGCTAGGGCGCCAAAGCCGTTGGGAGGCGAGTGCGGTTGTGGCGGTTTTGTCTCGCCTCTGTGACAAGATCACAGGAAAATGGCTTGGATTTGAGTGACTATAAGTATCTATAAGTTGTTTTAGGATTTCTCTTGATTTTTGCTTGTCCCTGCTATTTTGTGCAGCAGTTGGAGGTGTGGTGAGTAACAAGGACATGCAAGGACCTTCATGGAGACTCAACTGTTTCCCAAACATTGTGATCACCCTAAAAGCCTTCTTACGGCAGGGGCCAAGGCTGGGTTTGATCGAGGGTGCTCACGGGCGGCGGCGGGGCGGCTACTAATTCACTGCTATTTACGCTATTGTGTCTAATAGCTTCTTGTTACTACTAGTAAGGCACTTGTTACTACTAGTAAGGCACTTGTTACTACTAGTAAGGCACTTGTTACTAGTAGTAAGGCACTTGTTACTACTAGTAAGGCACTTGTTACTAGTAGTAAGGCACTTGTTACTAGTAGTAAGGCACTTGTTACTAGTAGCTTCTTGTTACTATTTATGCTACATTCATGTCTCGAGATCTTGGAGGTGCATTTCCACTGCACAGGCTCACGTAAGCTATGTCTTGCTGGCGGGTGCTTTTCTCGACCGCATTTTCGGACTTGGTGGTTGCTTTTCGTGGGCGGCAGGCACAATCGAATCCTCGTGTTTGGGTGGTCTCCAGCCGACCTCTCGTGGCAAGTGCCCGAGATCGGAGCCTTGATACTTTGATGTGCAGGCAGACTTCGTGGCAGGCGCAGCGCTTTGGACTTGGTGGTCGCGTTTGGTGTGGTCTGATTTCGTGGCTGGTGCAGTGTGGCGTGAACTTTAGACATGTGGGTCGTTTTCTGAATTTGGGCGAAGTCTCACACGAGACTTCGCGGAATGCGCAGCGATGAGTGAACCACTCATATGTGTGCTCTTCTGGACTCCTGTGTGCGTGCTCTCACGCCTTGCCCGCAGGAGTGCGCTCATGCGCGTGCTCTAGAGTGCAGAAGTTGGCTTAGTCACAGTGGTGTTTTTTCTACTCAACCCTGTTTGGGGCCTTTTGCCAGGATAGTTTGCATCCCCACCCCCCTAAACCAAAATCATTTGTATAAAAGTTCAATTGTAACTTGAAGACCCCCAGGTACCTACGCAGCTCGATATATAATCTCAATAAATGTAAGTTACGTCTTCAACTGCTGCAATTTGTCGCGATAATTTTGCATAGAGCGTGATCAGCGCACACTGACAAGTCACATTTCGTTAATGAAAGACACATGCACGATCCTGCAAAACAATCTTTCCTTGTGTGCATCTCCAAACGCCGGCCCCAGTACCACAAAGTAGGTTTTGAAGTGTTGGAACATTGTGAAGGTTAATGTGACTCAACACAGCGGGGCACAACCCAGCACATTGGTGTGCAAAATTGTGCAAAATTGAAGTGAGGGCATTGGGTTTCATTGGGATGAATGATGGGAGGGTTGGGTTTGCCTGATGCTGATGTCATGTTGTGCCAGGCCGCTATCGCAAAGTGTGTGGAGTTGTACAATGAGGAGTTGCAGCCAGGAATTGTTACGCTTCTTGGCATGGTTGGGTGATTCAAAATCAGACTCTCAGCCTTGAATCAATCCGTCCTGCATGGTTTGGCCGACAGATTTTTCTAAAAGATGTCATGTCCAGACCAATTTCTCTTCAGTAGACCTCGAAGCACCAAATATTTCAAGGGCAACAACTGGCTTTAAGACAGTTGAGCGGAGTAATTCACAAGTTCACATGATTCATGTGCGGATGGGCTAGCGATTAAGGTACAACTCACTACTCAGTGCTTTGGATAAGGCCGAAGCGACCTGCCGTTGTCACACCCAATGTTTTCATAGTTTCGCTGGCGCCAAACAATCTCTTGTATGCTGGCGATCTGAAGGACAACCACTGAAATCTTAAGTCTCGGGTTTTGTTCGAATTCCAATAGCCTGAGCCCCTGCGGCGTTTCTGTTCTGCAAATGTGCTAGGAAGTCTTCGACTCATAGATTTCACAGGGATCCGACTCTTTGCGCGCAAGGCCTCCCAAAGTGTCAAAGCTTTGCACCTGCTGCAGCTGCTGCGATCAGACAGCGTAACTCTGCAGCCCGACATTGTTAGCTTTTGCAGTGTGGCCTCTGCATCAAGTCGAGGCCGTGATTGGTGGTCAATGGTTGGGTTGAAAGTATTGTGTTTGTTCGGGCACCACCACTTCTGATGTTTGTTTATTCTTCCGGTATGGAACGACAACAGCGGGCAATGTACAAAAGCATGGGCAGGTAGACCCTTTCGAACATGGCACACTTGTGCAAGGAGAGAATCGGTGCCGTTTGTGCGTGCACGGGATCTCATTGTGCTGTCTTTCACCATGCACGAATGTCGTAACTGGTGCAAGAACTGTAGCAAACTACAACATCTCACGGTGATATTGCATCTCAATTGGCAGGTCAGGATTGGCCGCAGTCCCTTCACTTGCTTTGGGTGGCCAAGTGTGAGGGGCTAGAGCCCAATACCTTCACAGGACGTGCATGGCAGGGCTGAAAAAACCGGGCAATGTGGCAGGAACTTAAATCACTCGTCAATGACATGAGAAGACTCGCAGTATCTCGAAGTTTTCTCCAGCTTTTGAAGATTCTCTTAACGATCTTAAAGGCGTCATTTAGCATACCAATTCAAGAGTAGTGCCTCTATTTGCCCTTCTAAGTGAGTGCAGGAAATGCAGCCATCACCGCTTTGGAGCGGGGTGGGCAGTGGCATTTGGCCATAGAATCCTTGATCAAGGCCGGAAGAAGCCAGAGGTGAGGTGCTTTCAGCATTTGGCTGGTCATGATGTATAACAATTTGTTTAAAACGCTCCCAGATGAGCCTGTCGAAGTCGTAGTGCTGCTTGCGAAGTGTAATCATTAGATTGCAGGGTTTCTCAACAGTTGTGCTGCTGTGCTACCGAGGCCCTTGAGCACGGCCCTTGTCCAGACCGGATCACCTTCAACACTGCTGGGGACTTGGCTCCATTGCTACCGCACACTTTGACAGCGATCTGGAGAAGCTACGATGGTCAAAGAAGACTGCTGTGAAATGCTGTGAAATCAGCCTTGAGCTTGGAAGATTGGAGGATTAATGTATGAACTGCCATGAACTCTCAACACCCTGTTCCTCCTTTCGCTGCTGCGCAGCTGGGAATTGGTAAACCCCGTGTCAGCTACACATGTGATGATGGGCTGGCCTGGTGTAGATGGCTCTTTCGCAGCCCTGTTTGCAGGTTATAACGGCGTTGGGCCGCAGTAGTCGTTGGGAAGAAGCTGTTGCAATGCTGGAGGACGGTCGCAAGCCGGGCTAGCTTTGACTGGACATGATCGTTGCCATTGTTAGACTGTTATGTTATGCTGTGGAGAGTTGCCCTGTCGTTGAGCCCAGGAGCTCGAAAAGCACAAGCTTGAGCCAAACACCGTGAGTTTCAACTCTGCCACTGCCGCATGTCATGCCCCTAGAACAAAGCGGGAGGACCGGCAGAGCAATGAACTGGGAAGTTACCGCTGTTCGGTGCAGATGTTTGAGAGGACTAAAAGCAGATGCCGGTGATGACAACCACCCCGCAGCAGTGATTTTCCTTTCGCCCAAAACAACACAAGATACATGCTGCAAAAGTACCTGTCAAGGGTGTTGGGATTGGCATGCATTGGCTTCTATATGCTTGTATGATCTTGTATGACTTCCTTGCCTACTTTGACTTGCCGAGTGCCTCTTTGCTGAAACGGGATTCCCCTGAGGTGCAGGTGGCTCCAGTGATAGCTGTCAAGCCTGGAAAGTGGGATTCCATCTACTCAGGAGCGGCACTGAAGACTTGCATAAATACCTAAGGCAATGCTATGCTGCGTGTCATGTTTCTGTTTGGTACTCCCTGCTTGAAACCAAGATCTAGTCTGTTCTTGACAGCCGTCTTTTTTGCTTGACGGTGGCTCACCATTCAGGAGAGGCTCCAGCCAGATTGCATCGTTTCCAGAAGTTCAGGCGTGCTCGTCTGCCTTGAGTGCTTGTGCACGCGCTGGCTGCTGGCAGCAAGCTTTGCAGACCTTTTCGGTGATGCGCAGCTTGCTTTACAAGAGCAGTTCCTAACTTCCTGAATCTAAGAGATTGAAGTTAGCCAGATGGAATGTGATTTTGATATGCTTATAATCTTAGAATTATAGTAAAGATTTAGGGGGCTAGCGCCCACGGCTGCTGACCCCAGGGAGAGGATCGGAAGGAACACGTTTTTCATGTTAACCAAGCCACAGCACCACTGACTGTTGTGGGCATTTCATTCCCTGACTGCAACTAAAGCTGATAATGTAGTATTGGTTGGTTGTGGATCCCTTAGAGACAAAGCAACAAGAAAGGCCTCAAAGGCAAGCAAACCCAAGGGAAAGAGGAAACAACATTGCCTACAGAAATATACATGTCCTGGCCTAGTTCAGTTCACGCTGGAGGCACGCTGGAGTCACAGTCTTGGAAGAGCAATAGAAGTGTTAGAAGATCACAGGGGGGGTTCCGTTGACGCTTGGTTCGCTTCGCTTTAG